AAAAGCTATTTCAGATGGCAGTGCAGTAATCTCTTTCCACATGTGCCCACACATGTACAGACTTTTCACATATAAACATATAAAACCATACACACTTCCCCTGCCACCCCTGAGTTTATTTCTCTTCTGCTATTTAATTTTTAAATGTAAATTGGGTGACAGGTGAATATTGAGGAGTTGAGCGATAACAGGTAACATCTTCACTCTGCCACACTATCGCCGCGCCACATCACTAAGAAGTGCCTATTCAATATTGTTACCTTTGGCAGAGTGCAGGGAGAAACACACTTTTGTGTGTGTCCTTTTGTATTCATACACATTCTGTATAGACATCTGCATGTGCACTCACACACAGTCACAGAATCACATCCAGTGGCTTATCTTCCGGAATAAGAAAAGGGGCTTGTCAGGATGGCACATTGTGTGTATGTGTTTGTGTGTGTGCGTGCATGTGTGTGTGTGTGTTGTGTGTGTGTGTGTGTGTGTGAGGGTAAGGCAATGTGCATTAGGGCGATTACAATATCAGCCGACTCCAGATGGAGGCAGGAAAATAAACAGTGGGGGAGAGACACAGAGAGAGAGGGGCAAAGACATGAGAAGGAGCCTAAGAGAGAGATTCTGTCTGTGTGTGTGTGTGTGTGCCTGTGTGTGTGTGTGTACGCGTGTGTGTGTGGCAGTCTGCCTGTGTGTGATACAGTTTGAAAAAGTGAAGTTAATTAGCAACTCAATCCCGGTCTATATACAGAGAACTGAGGGAGCAGTGTGTGTGTGTGTGTGTTTATGTTGCCCTGCACATGTCTATTAGTGTGTTATAGTCCAAGAAACCTGAACTATGATGTAGACACAGTGAGCCGTCCAGCTAAACAGCCGAAAAACTACATTTCCCAGCTGTCTGTCTTTAACAACACCGCTAGTTCAGCTGTCTCTACCTTATTGCTTTTCCAACAGTTAAGAAAAACAAGATGAAGAAGTTGGATTTGGTGAAATTCAGGAACCAGACGGTTATACATATGATTTCCCATTTGTTTCCTAAGTGGCTTGAAGTGTAAAAAACTATGAAGAATTAACTGCCTCCATGAAACTTGATGAATTGTTAGATTATGCACTATTGGCCTCTTCTTCACTTGCCCTATAAGTCTCGTGTTATCTGGAGTAAAAACACGAACAAGGCCAATAAAATCAGTTTGTAGTGCTCACTGTTGACTTTGACATTAAATAAGCTCCTGTAAAGGCCAACTCACAGCTACAATAAAACAAAGACCTCTTGCTTTTCAGAGTGCTGGAGAGCGTGTGCACGCACACACACACACACACACACACACACACACACAAATGCATATACAATAAGACACACATGCAAGTCCTTTTACACCACTGCTGCTCTTTCGTGGGTGATGAAATTCAATAAGCAGTGAAGAGAACTGCCCTCTTGCTGATAACCATCAATGGGCCTATCGATTTACAAGGGCATGTGTGTGTATGTAGGTGCATGCACACAAACACACGCACACTCGCACATACACACACATACACACATACACACACACACACACACCACACACACACACACACACCATGGCTCTATCTATAATTCACTCTGTGAGTTAGTAAGAGACAGCTTTGAATAATAAGAACAAATCCATACATCTTGAAGGAGTGCACGGAAAACTGGTTTTAGTGTCCACTTCTATTGCTGACATTTGCCCCATGACTGTATTGCTTCAAATACAACCTATACCTATTTCAAAACGCTCCGCCATCTCTATTTTTTTTACACACTTATGCAATTACAGTTACTGAGTTATTTAAAAATGAAATCACTACTGTTATGACTATTGTATGTTTATCTTATTTTTACTTGAGTGAGATGACAACAAACCTTCCAGATTTAACTCAACTCCAGGACATTAAAGTCCCATTAGCCAACTGAAGCACCAGCAAAGCTCACTTATGCCAAGTACAGAATTATACTACAAATAAACAACCAAAACAGTCTTACAGCATTTATAGCATACATAGTGTGGCCAGTCCATAAATGAAGTATAGGTTGTGTAATGTTCTGCATAATAGAATCTAAAAATGACAAAACCAACTTACCAAACTAAAAAAAGGGTGTAGCTGATCATTTTGTGCCACAATCATTCTCAATACTGGTGCAGTTAAAACCAAATGAGAAAACACAAATAATACAGGTGATGCAATTCTTTCTGGGCATCATCCAATACCAAGCCTTTTGGTAGAAGGATATTTGTATTAGTGTGTAGCTGTGAGAAAGTACAGCCTTACAGCTGACACAGAAATACACAAGGGGGCTTCATGATGTAGCCGGCGTATAAACTCTGTTGAGTCATCATCACTTATTCACTGTATAGCAAACCTGGGCCACATCCAAATGTCTGGTGTGTCATACTTGAAAGAAGTGCTTCGTAATGACATCACAGCACTAGAGGCTCAATATGACTGTGCTTTTTCCCCTTTTAAATAATAATAATTCATTGTTTGAGGCGGTGATCTAAACGCTTTGGATGCAGTTTGATGGATGCTAATAGCTGTGGTTAGCATCAAAGAGCATTAAAGGAAAGAATGCAAATCATCAAGTCAAAGTGACTCTCTGTGTCTGTGTGTCATCTGCACGCTGCATTGTGTCACTGTGCAGACCACACACAGTCATTTTCAGCATCACCTTTCCGACCTGCCAATCAGGGGTATATAAGTGTTTGTGTCTGTACCTGTGCCTGTATGTGTGTGTGTGTGCAAAGGCAAGAATAAAATGGCTGCCATCATTTTTGCAAGGCCATGTCCGTGTCTGTGAGCAGCGGTCTGATGCATTTGACCCCATAGCCTGAGAGCTGAATGGAGGAGGAGAAGGAGGAGGATGGAGGGAGGGAGGGAGAACAGGTGTGAAGCAGGCTGGTGGCTGGGCAGATGGCCCCTGGAAGTGCTAGCTGATGCTGCAGGAGCCTGGACCAGAGAGAGCTAGCAGCTAACATTAATACAGGCCTGTTTACCATGCAACCACATGCACACACACAAACACACTGATAACCTGCAATCAGCACTTATCATTTACCCTCCCTTCATCACCAGCTTTGTTTACCTTTCATTTACTCCCTCTTTCCTTCTGTCTCTCTCTTTATCTCTGTAAACACACACACTCACTCCAGGTAATAGTCTTTTCAGTCAAGGGGGGGGGGGGGGTCCACTGCAGTAAATAATAATGACAAATAATACAGATGATAAAAAAATCCTGAAAATCCTGAATCCCCATTTGCATCACTTAAATTACAGATACAGGCAACATATGCATAATGACAGCTCAATAAAAATAGTGTCTTAGACGACTGAGCTTCTCAATTTAAAATAATGAATACTGTTCTTGTTGATATAAATAGCTTATATTAATGCAAAAAAATATGCTCATAAACAATTCCTTTTAACTATATTTAACTCGGCAAATACTAAATCTGGAGTGGGTCACGCTTTTAAGAGGAGTTAACAATCACCCTCTTGGATGCCTACAAAGCTTTGCATGGGACTATTTGGCATGCGTAGAAAATGTCCAAAGCCCGGCGGGTTTCCAGGAGATATTTTCCTCCCTCTCTAATCCGAGCCGTGAGAACAGTCGGGCATCGACAGCAGGTTGTGCCCCAGCAGCCGCCCTCCCTAACCCGCATGTCTGCTCTTTTCCCAGTCGGGGGAAAAGATTCCCACTGGAGTAAAAATATAGCCCAAGCCCTTTAATTTCAACCCTACGCCACTCCATAAAAAAAATCCGTTTTTTAATTTTCCCCCTCTCTTTTCGGTTATGCGATGATGACAAAGTCGCAGCGGGTGGAGATGGAAACTTCACATGGATTTGAGAAGATGCTTTTGACAGTTGTGACGGAGCTCCGGAGGATGTTTTCAAATGCAAAGAGAGGAGATGCAGAGAAGGTTCTGAACTAAACACACAGAGGGATAGCAAAGTCTCTGCACCCCCCCCCCCCCCCCCCCCAAAAAAAACAATTGCAAATATCAACAACCACAAACTACTTCGTTTGTTTTAGAAACCAGTGGGCATTTGTCATCAAGCTTATATTCTCTTTAATCAGCGAAAAAGGACTTCACCTGGTGATGTTTTAATTTTTGATTAAAAACTTGCATGCTCCCAGCACTCCATAGCACATTACTGTCTATCCCGTGCTGAGGAGTGGCGATCGTGCCTCGCTATAAAACTAATAAAACAAAGTGTCTACGCTTTCAGCTGATTTTGGGGCTACTTCACTTCTAAAAAGGGGTCTTGCGAGATCGAAAGGGAGTCACCAAACTTGATCCGTGAACTCAAGTTGAAGGTTGCCCGAGAACGACTCTCCACCCTGGGTTCAAAATGAACTGATATCTACTTTTTATAGAGACGGTAACAGCTGCAAGTGTGCCACTATTTAAACAAACGGAACCATGATTGCTCTTTTGATAATACACAAACGAATCCCTTACTGGTTACTCCTCTAAAGTATAGTCCTTGAGACACAATACTGGGTTTCGTAGCGTATTTACAGTTTATTAATTTGAACAATTGGTCATTCATTAAAACAAATCTATTTTCTCTGCTCAGCCTATTTCTCCGATTAAATGTGATGTGTGACTGAAATGTGTTTGTAACCATAACATACACTATTACGCACACCACACATTATTCGCTCGTGCAATATATTTGCCATCCCAGATCAACTCATAAATAAAAATCAAAATCAAAATGAATATTTCTAGAAATAATGTAATTGTTAGCTTTATGCATGATGTGTTTTCATAAAAATCACTATTCTGGAGCACCATCGCATCCGCTTACTTTACATTAAAATATATGAAACAAAGCACACATCAAATTCAACAGTGGGTCAGCAGCTATTTCCCTAATTCATCCCCTTCATTTGGCGCACACATGTCTACATGAGGACAAAACACTCAGCCAAGGCGTAAATGGGAAACAGCATCACCATTGCATTAGAGAGGCCACTTACACTGAAAAGAGGCAGAAATTCCCACCATGCGGTACGTTGATGTGAGAGGGCTAAATAATTTCCAGTCCTTTTGACTCCGCGCAAAGGTCCACTCGATGGTCCGCTTGTATCGGGGAGACGAAAGCTACCGAGTCCAGCCAGCTCTCAGGGGCTCTGGCGGTATACTTCCAGCAGCTCGGAAATGTGGTTCAAACTCCGACAAAAGAAGAAGATCAGCTCACGGCTTTCAGTAACTGATCAGTCACTAAGAATATTCAGGATGGGGAGAGCCGGGAATCTTCTAAAAGCGCAGAGCCAGAAAGGAGGAGAGATGAGATAGAGATGGAGAGGGAGGATGCAGTAGTGCGCGCGGCACCCGTCTGGTTTTCTACTAGTCTTTCGCACTTTCTTCCAAAATCATTTACACCTCGAGGCCTAGATTGTAGAAATCGGTTTTTAAATATGATTTAAAAATTGCATGCACAAACCCTCCTCGTCTCCTAGTTTTCGGCTTCTCCGTTGGCGTGGGGAAGAGGAGTAGCTACACTCTGCCTCCAGTCGGCGGTGCGCAGCAGAGCCAGGTGGCGGTGGGCGGGACTGAAGCGCTGGTGAGGCAGGAGGAGGAGGTGGCCACTGGGCAGCAGCTAGCATCTGTGTGTCTTAAAACAGGTTGGAAAAAGCAGGGTCAGGTCAAGTCGAAGCGTTTTCTACTGTACCAGTGGCTCCCAAAGCTTTTTCATATCAAGGGCTCCCAGGGAGATTATTCCTGTAGGGTTTTAACCCAAGGGCGCAAGAGAATGTGTGGCACCCCATATTAGTCAAGAATTAAAAGACAGGTTCACATTTTGTCAAGTCTGTTTTTAAACAATAGTTGCATGCCCATATGTACATTCAAAACATAATTGGTTACTGTATTATTATTTATTCTGTCCATACTGGCTTAAATCCCTTCATATTCCAATGTAAGTGTGTGATTGGTGACAAGATTCATATTCCTATGCTTTCTTAAGTTCAGCAAAAGCTAAACTGAGGCTTCAGCAGTCTGACTTAGAAGGTTTTGTGTTACTATCTTCACTGCGGCTTGAAACTCTAACTGCATTTCCATCCACCTGTTTTTATGCATATTTTACATTGTGTGTTGAAAAACCTGAGTGGAAAAAAAGTTGGTGTATTGATAAAAGACAGAAACAGACTTCAAATCAGAAATCAGGACTTGCATGACAAAAATTTTCCACAGTGTGAGTTTTGACTGGTGCTCTTTGAATTATGCTTGCTCGTTGCATCATTTTTTCCTGCAATGGTTTAATGGCACAGGACTGGACAGTTAGCTCCACCAGCTGTTTATCTCCATGTCTCAACTCCTAATATTTGCAAACCGTAGTGGCTTTCTTTTGCAGATTTTTTGGAAATGCATTTGTTTTTGGATGGAACTATTTGCTGCTGTCTGCGGAAACAAAGAGGGAATTCTGTACAAAAAAAGACAATTGATTTGTTTCAGTTAGTGGGGAGTTAATTGTTGAAAGCTGTGCTAAAATGCTTAAGCCTATCCATTCAGCTATTTTGCCTGGACTTTGAGAACTACTTGCAGAGACAGCAGTGGAGTGTCATGGACAAGAACCAGCCAGCAGAGTGCTTGAGGAGCTGGATGGCCTTTGTGTCTGCAAAAAAAGTAGGACTGCGTGATGCATGTCTGCACACACACACACACACACACACACACACACACACACACACACACTGTATCTTTATCTTTCCCTCAGCTGAAAAAGGCACAAGCAGGCTGGCCTGCAGTAACCTAAGGCAAACACTTTCCCCAGACCATCTGGAAGTCATCTCACCCGCAGAGCCAGTGAAAGCACAGAGCAGAAGCTACGTTTACAACTCGGTGATAACAACTGGTCCACTTGAACTGCATGGTTGAACAAGTCATGCACCATAGCCTGTTCATAACATCTCATAAATTAAAATATTCTATTCTATTTGATTCCATTCTATTCTATTCTGTAATGCTCATTTACTTGGTGGTTCTAGCAACAATGACTAAACTTCACTTAATTGCAAGACATGTCCTCTACGAAAATTAAGTTCACTGTTTCCGATGTTTTGATTTTGATATAAAGGGAAAGTCAGCGATTCTGGAGAAAGATTACTGATGAACTAAACAGACAAACAAATACACCCCTCCCTTCAGTGCTCATTCAGAAGCTCTGCCCCCCAAATTTGTGGATGAGCAATGTCAAAGCAATGCCATACAACTGCGCTAGCTGACCAAAAGAGAAATATGGCAGAATCCAGAGCATCTGCTGCCAGAGGGTAAAAAGTTGAAGCAATTTTCACAGCTATGAAATTACAGGTGGCATTTGTTTTTGTAATACTCTAGAAAGTGTGACTATATTTAAATAGGTGTTGAAGCCAGATAGTTATCTAAACTAAAGTCTAAGCATGGAAGGGTTATATCTCTGACATTATTTAGATTTTGTTCATGGCATGGGGTAATTCCAGAATAGCAGATAGTCAGGACGAGTTACATTACACAGGCGAAGACGGAAGAGGGACAGTATTCAAGCAGGAGCACAAATGCCCCCTGTTGCTGATTGGCTAGAATAATGTTGTGTAGCTCGGTCCAAGCCACTTGATTTGTTTCCCATTTACAGAGCCAGGGCTGTGTACGAACCAGAGATATTCTGTGACAAAAAGTGTATTGGATTAGAATCGCTGACAGCACCTACAGTATGTCAGATTTGCTGCAAGTTACATGGTCTCTAATTTCCAGGCAATACAAAGGATAGTGCACCTGAAAAACTCATTCTGTGTGTTTTTACTAGCAAAATCAATAATTTTATACTGTAAGTTATTATGGAGCATCATCACAACTAAAGTAACATCTTCTGCTTTTGTCTGCCATGTACTGTGTGTAAAACATTCAGTGGATTGTTAGCGTACCATCATCGTGGAGCTCATTGTTCCCTCAGTGCAATCTCTGTGGGGAAAAGATGATGCCATTAATGGCAATTGTTTGCAACATTGCCAGTGTGCATTTCTCTCTTTCACTTTATCTCCCTCTCATCTCTCACTATCTGGAGTGCTTCAGCAGTGGGTTACATTGTGTTCTCAGAGGGAATATGGATAGATACACTCTCTGGCACCCTCACAAGCACAGGACTCTGTGCTCTACTTCCATTTTCCAGCCTGGGTCCTTTTGTCAATTTCTGACAAAGGCAGTGGGCTACACAGGATATGTGAATAGACATGCAGTGAGAAGGTGAGGGATGGAAAGGGAGGGTGGGAATATTGAACGATAAGCACAGAAGAAAAGTAAATCAGACTCATAATGAAAATAAGGAAGAAGGGAGGTTTGTAGTGAGAACATGTTTGAAAAAAGTGGCCTCTGAATCAGATGTGAGAAAGGTCAGAATAGGTTCATCATCAACACCACTGGCCACTCAAACTGAGCAACCTAGCATGGTCAGAAAAAACAGCAGGGCTGTAAGGATGCCGTCACTCCTCGCCTATTTGTGTCCTCTGGTTTGTTCCCGGAGAGCAAGTCCTCTTATGACAATCACAGCGAAACATCTTGACGGCCGGAGGCACAAGGATAGGCGTTGAGGAAACCTGCAAGGAAAAAAGAGAATAGGGCAATGATCCGTGTGTGTGTGTGTGTTTGCGTGTGTGTGTCCTGTGATAACGGTGCGTGAGAGCAGGAAACACACAGTGCCTGTTTTTGCTGCAGGGGTTCCTGGAAGTCAGCCGCCCAGTGTGATCCGCGACATACACACGCACGCACATGCACTTACACACACACACACACACACACACACACACACACACACACACACACACACACACAGGATACCTCGCCTCTGAAAGGGAAAAACATGCTGTGTCTGATACATGTGGACACAGACAAGCAGACTTCCTGCATTTTCCCACCTACTGGGGAGCCACCTGTAACACACACACACACACACACACACACACACACAGACACACTTACTCATATTACATTCATGGGGACAAAGAATGAGACAAATATAAGTTCGGAGTTGACAGTAAACAAGTGCCATTCGAACCCCTCATTATCTGGCATTGGATCAACATTGCCTGAGGCCAAGGGGCCTACCATCAACATCATCCCCACCACTGGTTAGAAAAGCAACAGGATAATAAGAAAGAGAACTAAAGTTACTTGATCTATTTGGAACATTAAGATAAAGACATCAGTAGTGAAGTAGTAGTGGAGTTGAAGCCAGAAAGGTTTGTATGAATATTATGGGCTTAAATATCCATGCTTCGCAGTTGAATCTATTTTAGATCTGTGTTTCCCCATTTTCTATCTGCCCTCGTCCATCCAAGTACTAACTCTCTTGTCATTTCAGATTCTGCCACTCCCTCCTTCCCAGCAGTAATCCCTGCATTCCTGCCATGCAGGACCTGACCTCCCCCTCCCAACTGCACACCTGTTCCCACTGGCCCATTAGCCTTGCATTTTATATTTTTATATATATACTAGCCCATTCCCATTAATTCTCCGCCACAACTTAGCATTCCAGCCATCACCTCTGCCTGCCTCACTCCTGCCTGCATGTACCTCTGCTTGCTTTTGGTTCGTTTTTTTGCTTTTTTTCCTGCCTGATCCCTAGCTGGATATCTTTGCCTTACTTTCCTTGTCTGTCTGGTATTGACTTTTGCCTGTCTCTGACCACGAGTAAAACAAAGGTTTTAACATTACCTGCTGTGTCTCTAAATCCTGCGTTTGGGTCCAAACCTGGTAATACTGAGCCGTTACAGTGTTACTTTTGGGTCGTCAGTATAGATATAAGGATCTCTTTTTATTTTACAGTATCTGTAGCACTTTCGTCTCCAAAATATGATTGTCTTTTTATATGTATTTATTATAGGAACAAAGGGGGCAAAGTTAAACCACTAAACTGTCATGAAATGGTTAAAATTACATTCATTTTTACCAATAGCAGCAGTAAAATGTTACTTACACAATAATGTATCAGTTATAAGAACCGAATAATATAATGTAGAATAGTAAAACACATGGGCCAATTATAAGTGCTTTTGCTTCTGTTGGATGAAGTACATTTCGGTAACATCAGTCTAGGTCTCCGTGATACTGGTTTAAAATATATGCCACACCAAATAGTGGGCATTGTGTAAATGTCATTTATTTGGAATAGAGGACATTCAATTCTGAATGGTGAAATTCCTCTGCAGATTGAACTGTTATGAGCAACTCGTTAAAAAGAGAAAATGGGGGTACACCAGAAAGATAATACATTTTTTAGAGAACCGTGTCCAAGGTAACAGTAAGTTTTGGAGTTGTCCTCAAGTGATTCAGCACAGATTTAATACTTGATGAATCTGCTATAGAAAAAATAAAATGAAGTAGCATTGATGGAGAAAGGCAGTAGTCAGTCTTTCAAGGGAAAAACGTGGCTTTTATTGAATGCCCTTGCAAGGTTAATTGGTTAGAATGTGCACATTGAAAAAGTCAGGGATTTTGTGTTAACTGCCTCAGATTTGATGTGTGAAACATTTATGTTGTTTTGGT